CTGATCTTCAGGGAGGAAAGGTCTAGAGGCAGAAGGCTGCAGGGGTCAGGAGTCAGGGCCCATGGACGGGTGATAGGCAGGTTCTTTTATCCCTCTTTTTCAGAGATGGGCACAGAGGCTCAGAGAGGGTCACACAGCTAGCAGTAACAGGCAGGAGATTGGAACCAGGTCTCCAGACTCCTAGTCTAGTACTCTTTCCAACATAGCACCCTGCTTCCCAGGAAACCAGGGTAACCGAGTGAATGGTCTGGTGTACAGGGAGGTGAGGAGCAGTACTGGGACTGGAAGAGGACACAGCAAAGAGAGAGGATGAGGAGGCACCAGCAGAGCAGTGGAATGGAAGGAGCCAGGCCTGGGACAATCTGGTCCAAGGAGAGGGAGAGGAGGGTTCCAAGGGAGTGGGGCCCAGGGACAGTGACTGGGGGAAGTCCTGAAGGACTAAAGTCAGGAGCTCTGGGAGGTGAGGGCAGGCATTAATTAAGCCTTGGAGAGGGTCCATATGGGGGGCTCAGGGCCACCTCCATCAGCTAAAATGAGAGAGAATGGGTGAGGTTGTTCAGGAGCCATGTAGGGCCAGGACTACAGGGATGCTGGTGGAGGCCCCTGAAAGGACAGTGAGGGCCTTCAGACCAGGTTACCCACTCCCTGTCCCAGAGCCCCGCCCTAGTGGTGAGAAGATGAGTCTCTACCTGCTCCTCATCTCCAAGGTTGGGAGAGCTAGCTGAGGCATTAATAACCAAATGGAAACTGTGGTGGTGGTAATATTAGCCAACATTTGCAGGAGCCTTACTAGGGGCCACTGGCTCCACAAACCCCCACCAAGCCCCACAAGGGTTGAAATCTTGAAGCCCAGGCTCCCTCAGTCCCTGATCTTCTTCCCTCAACATTTCATTGGCAGCCGACCCACAAGAGGAAAGGGCCCTAAACCTAAACCTTTCCCAGTCCTAGCCCGTTCCCACCCTACCATGCCTCTCTCTGTCTCCAGGGTGACTCCCACCACAACTGCTGTCGTCACTAGCAACCACTCTTGTCCACAGCTAAGTGTGTTAGGACACGAGGGGCTTTGTGCAGGGGCCAGAGGTCATTCTGTCTACCCCCCTGCCTTTGGCCAGGACTTACTCTTCCCCAGCCCACAGTGCTAAGAGGCAGCATGACCCAAAATGGACTTAGGTGTGAGCCCAGATCTGAGTCCCAGCTCTATCATTTCCTTGGTCTGTGACCTTGAGCAAGTCACTAACCTCTCTGAGCCTTAGTTTATTTCTCTGCAAATTGGGAACAATGATAATTGGACTAAAGCATAACTTTTTAAATGAGGATTACAAGTACTTAGCCCAGTCCTCACACATAGTAAGTACTTACCAAGTGTTGGCCATTATTGGTTTTAGTATTATTCTCCCGTCCCCTGCAGTTCCTGGTCACCCTCCCCAGAGAGCAGAGGTGTTCTTCCTGCTGCAGCTTCCCCTGGCCCCAGGGCATCTGGGGGTGGGACACGGGGGGCCATGGAGGCTCTGAGGAGGCTCTGACAGCCTCCCCCGCACCCTCCTGCAGACGTCGCTGGTGCACCTGCTGAAGACAGTGCGGCTGCTGCGGCTGCTGCGGCTGCTGCAGAAGGTGGAGCGGTACTCGCAGTGCAGCGCGGTGGTGCTCACGCTACTCATGTCCGCCTTTGCGCTCCTTGCCCACTGGATGGCCTGTGTCTGGTACGTCATCGGGCGCCGGGAGATGGAGGCCAACGACCCACTGCTCTGGGACATCGGTGAGCCACTGGCCCCGGACTTTCACTGACCACCCATCCACCTGCCCTGTGCACTCAGGCACCCACGCGGACGCCTTCACCTGTACCGCCATCCACCACCCACCACCCACATTTCTCTATTCACCCAACCAACACGCATGGAGCTCCTTCTGGATCAAGCGTGGGAGTACTGATTTGTAGACAAGGGCTTTGCCTTGGGGGGACCTCACAGCCTAGGAGGGGAGCAAGACGGGTGATAGGCGATCAAAATACAGTATGGGACACTCTCCAGTAGTAGGAGGGTGTTTGGGGCAGAGCAAGCAGTACTCCTTCCTGGCTCCTTCTGGTGGCTCCCTACTGCCATCAAAATCAAGTCCACACGCAGTGCACGCCCTCTCTGTCCCTACCTGGCTCCTCTTTACCCCACCCCCCTGTGCTGCAGCCACACTGGCCTCCTCCAGCACCCGCGTTGTACTGCTCTCTCACTCGGGGCCTTGACCATGTTTTCCTCTCCGGAATCCTTTTCCTTCTGTCTTCCCTCCCTTCACCTAGGTGACCCGTCTGTTCCTTGCAATCTCAGCTAAAATGCTCTGTCCTAAGGGAGCTTTTCAGGGACCATACTCCCCACCACCCATTGTATTGGCTTTCCCTAACCCAGTATGACTCCTAAGATACCCTACAGTTCCCTTTTATTCATTTTTTAATTTTAAATATTTTTATTGTTGATAGTATTACAGATTATCTCCCATTCCCCCCCCCCCCACACACACACACACTTTTCTTCTTCTAGTTCCCTTTTAGTAGCTCACCTCCCACCTGCAATGATTTATTTGGTGTCTCTTTCCCCTCCAGACCTTAATTCCCACCAGGGCAGGGAGAATGTCCGGCTGGGTCAAGTCCCAGCACCCTGGGCACAGGAGGCGCTCGATAAACGATGAGAGTGTGGCAGAGGCCCCCGAACAGTCAGCGGTACAGAGAGTTGGTAGCCTTGAGCTGCAACTGTAACCAGTTCACGGTGGCGAGGCTCAGGCCAAGGCTGCCCATGCAAACCTCCCCTCCCCGCTGTAAATACTTGACTAAAGTCGAGTGCAGGCAGCTCGGGGAAACCCGGTTCTCCACCACCTACATCCTTCCACCCTCCAGGCTGGTTGCATGAGCTGGGCAAGCGGCTGGAGGTGCCCTATGTCAACAGCTCGGCGGGCGGCCCGTCGCGGCGTAGCGCCTACATTGCTGCGCTTTACTTCACGCTCAGCAGCCTCACCAGCGTGGGCTTCGGCAACGTGTGCGCCAACACTGACGTCGAGAAGATCTTCTCCATCTGCACGATGCTCATAGGCGGTGAGGCCGGCCTGCCAAGCATGCAGATAGGGAGATCGGGGCCCAAGAAGGCCATCCAGACAGGCCTGCATTCATGCACAGACGTTTCCTCCGGCCTGCTGCATACCGGCCCTGGGGGACTCCACAGACAGGCATGGTGTCTTGTTTAGGGAACGGAAACTCAAGTTCATGACCTAGTTGGGGGGGCGGGGGATGAGAGGAGCATCAGGTCTGACCCCTCTCAGGACCACTCTCTATCCCCCCTCCCACGCCAGCCCCTGCCACCAGGTGGGCACGTAGGAGCCCACTGGCCCTCCTGCCCTTCCCAGGAACCCGGAGGCCTGTCCAGGGCAGGGTGGGTTTGGGAACGGACGGCCACCCTAACCTGCCGCCCGCCGCCAATGCTGCAGCGCTGATGCACGCCGTGGTGTTCGGGAACGTGACGGCCATCATCCAGCGCATGTACTCGCGCCGCTCGCTCTACCACAGCCGCATGAAGGACCTCCAGGACTTCATCCGCCTGCACCGCCTGCCGCGGCCGCTCAAGCAGCGCATGCTCGAGTACTTCCAGACCACGTGGGCTGTCAACAGCGGCATCGACGCCAACCAGGTAGGTGCAGGGGTTCCTGGTCTTCGCCGCATGGCTGCATGGCCGTGCCATGAGGAAGAGGGACAGCCTCTCCGGGTTTGGAATGGAGGCAGATGGGCTACGCAGCGGTTCTCAACCTGTGGGTCGCGACCCCTTTGGCGGTCAAGCGACCCTTTCACAGGGGTCGCCTAAGACCATCCTCCATATCAGATATTTACATGACGATTCATAACAGTAGCAACATTACAGTTATGAAGTAGCAACGAAAATAATTTTTTTAAATATATTTTATTGATTTTCTACAGAGAGGAAGGGAGAGGGATAGAGAGCCAGAAACATCGATGAGAGAGAAACATAGATCAGCCGCCTCCTGCACACCTCCCACTGGGGATGTGCCCGCAACCAAGGTACATGCCCTTGACCGGAATCGAACCTGGGACCTTTCAGTCCGCAGGCCGACGCTCTATCCACTGAGCCAAACCGGCCAGGGCAACGAAAATAATTTTATGGTTGGGTCACAACATGAGGAACTGTATTTAAAGGGCCAGAAGGTTGAGAACACTGTAGCCGCAACAGGGAGGTGAGGTGTTATTCACAAGGGCATGTGCCCACTGAAATCCACATCCCTTTTCCCGTGCACTAGAATTTGGGACCTGAAAGGGAGCTCAGGCCTTAGGTAATGCCACGCTCCCTTCGGCCAACAATTCCCGAGCACCCGCTGTGGGCCAGCCTCTGTGCTGAACACAGGGAGCTCCGAGGTGATCACAGCTTTTTCCCTCAGGGAGACACCAGCCTGGTAAGGGAGGCAAACAGTAAATAAATTACACAGTGAATGGGACTCTGCTGCAGGGGTGTACCTGCCACTTGGGATCCCCATTGTGTTGCGTCTGGGCCTAGAGGAGTACGGGCAGGTGGCACCGTGAAGGACAAGAAGGAAATCGGCCTGCTACCAGAAGGCCGTTCCAGGCAGGAAGAGCGATAGGAGCGCAGGTCCAGAAATGTTGACACAAAAGAGCAGGGTGAGTTCAGGAAACTGAAGGTAGTTCAGTGAGCCTTCAGGAACGGGAGTGTGGGCACCGTGGCGGGTGGAGAGGGAGAGGAGTGCAAGAGCCTGGGTGGGCAGGCCCAGGTCATAGATGCCCTTGACTTTAGATGTTATCCTGCAAAATGCTGAGGTTGGGGAGTGGCCTGGGGATCTAGGAGAGATTTCTAAGCGCAGGCACCATGGGACTTGGTGGTCTTGGTTGCAGAAGAGGAGCTCAGAGTGATTCCCGGGTTTCTGGCTAGGGGCAAGGGGTGCGATGGGGGTGTTACAGGGAGAAGATTGTACTTGGGGGTAAAAATGAGAGCCCAGTGTGGGGCCATGATGAGAGTGTGGTGCCTGTGGGAGGTCCAGGTGGAGTCTGCCCCATAGGTAGTTGAAAATATAGGTCTGGACCCAGACGTAGGGCTCTGGGCTTACAGTAGCGGTTCTCAACCTGTGGGTCGCGACCCCTTTGGGGGTTGAACGACCCTTTCACAGGGGTCGCCTAAGACCATAGGAAAACAGATATATAATTACATATTGTTTTTGTGATTAATCACTATGCTTTAATTATGTTCAATTTGTAACAATGAAAATACATCCTGCATATCAGATATTTACATGACGATTCATAACAGTAGCAAAATTACAGTTATGAAGTAGCAACGAAAATAATTTTATGGTTGGGGGTCACCACAACATGAGGAACTGTATTAAAGGGTCACGGCATTAGGAAGGTTGAGAACCACTGGCTTACAGGGAGTGGGGGAGTCATGGAGCTGGTTGCTATGATACAGGGAGTGTGTGGAAAGTTAGGAGAGAGGAAAGAGGTACGCTGCAGAAGAAGAGCCTGGGGAGACAATGGGGACAAGAAAGAGATCAACAAGCCACAGTGGTTGAAGGCCTCCATAATATGGGGATGGAACTGTGAATATTAAGTTTAGGTCTAGGAGGTCATTGATAATATTCAAGATCTAGTGTAACCCAGCAATTTACAGATGGCCCAGAGAGAGGACATGGATGGCTCAAGGTCCACAGCGATTTAAAAGCAGAGTTTGCATTTGTGGTGTTGAGGAACAGGGCGTGTGTGAGTGACTTAGTGCGTAACCAGGGGCAGTGGGCAGACAGAAGACCTAGTCTCTGCCCCCGCAGCTGGGTTGGGAGGTCCACACACAAGTAAAATTGAGGTCAGAAAGGGGTAACTTCGAAGCACAGGGCAAGTTGGAGCTATCTCCTTGGAGACAGCTCAGCACGTCTGTAGACATCAAGTAGCAGCTGCAGCGGGGATGGCCCGGATGACCTGTGCCCCTTATGCAGTTGCTGCGTGACTTCCCGGATGAGCTGAGAGCTGACATTGCTATGCACCTGAACCGGGAGATCCTGCAGCTGCCGCTGTTTGGAGCAGCCAGCAGGGGCTGCCTGCGGACCCTCTCCCTGCACATCAAGACCTCCTTCTGTGCTCCGGGCGAGTACCTGCTGCGCTGTGGGGACGCTCTGCAGGCTCACTACTACGTCTGCTCAGGCTCGCTTGAGGTGCTCCGTGACAACATGGTGCTGGCCATCCTGGGTGAGGATACCACCACCACCTACTGCCTACCCTGGAACCTTCCCCAGAGGCCTGTGAGTGGCCAAGAATCTAGGGCCTGGGATGCCTTTAGTGGACATCTGGAATTCTGCTGAGGAGTAATCTTTCTTGGTCCCTTCACCCTACTACCATCCCCTCTTGACCGTTCCCCTCAGCCTCCCCCCTAATCCCATTGGCCATCCCTCAACCCATCAACCCTTCCCCAGTGACTGGTCCCCCAAATAAATTGATTCTTCATCATTGACCTTCAATTCCATTGACCTTTACCCTTTAACTGACCCCTCTGGCCATTCTTTATTGATCACTGATCAATTCTATTGGTCATTCCTCCAACCTTACTAACACCCCCTCATTAACTGTCTCCCAACTTCAGTCATTCTCCACTAACCTTTTCCCAATTCCGTTGATCATTTCCACCAATCCCACCTTCAGCCATCCTTCAAACACACTGGCCACCCCTCAAACCCATTGACTAGGTATATCCTCTTGGTCCCTCTCCCCAGCTGACTGGCCCCAGCTCACTGTCCCCATCCCTTACCCACAGGGAAGGGGGACCTGATTGGGGCAGATACCATTGAGCCAGGACAGGAGCCTGGGTCAGGAGCAGGCCCGAGCTGTGTGCTGAAGACCAGCGCTGACGTGAAGGCACTGACCTACTGTGGCCTGCAGCAGCTGAGCAGCCGAGGGCTGGCGGAGGTCCTGAAGCTCTATCCTGAGTATGGGGCTGCCTTCCGGGCTGGTCTGCCCCGGGACCTCACCTTCAACCTGCGCCAGGGCTCTGACACCAATGTATGTAGACCCCTACAACTTCCATCTCCCCTGAGGTTCCTTCCTTCAAAGCAGACCTCCCTCAGCCCTAGAGAGAGCTTCATGCATTGTCTTCCACCCTGAAAACATCCTCATCCCCAGGCACCCCTGGCCATTGCCCCTTCCATATTTAACATCTTCCAATCCCACTGACCCTACTCCATTGGCCATCACCCAACCCCATGGACCATCTCTCACCACATTTACTTCCAACTGTACTAACCCATCTCCTGTTGGCCCACCCTCAGCTTCCCTCCAGAATCCCCAAAGGACCCCCACGTCGGGAACAATCCCCCTCGTGTTCCTCATCCATAAAGTTCCTCTCTGGACTGGGCACCATCCCCTGGGGCTTCCTCACTCACCAAATGTTTCCTGAGCCCATTTTGGTTTAGGTCTGTAGGGTACACCCTAGGCCTTTGTCTTTTACTGCTTTTCACATTGACTTTCCACTCAGGATTTCTCTGAGTCAGAGTTGGAGGTATCTCTGACTCAAATCCACAAAAAGGCTCCATATTCTCAAACCCCGCAACACTGATGGGTGAGATGAGGAGGTGTTGCACTAATGGAGGGGGAAGGCGTGAGTAAGATGATCCCCTCTGTCCCCACAGGGCCTCGGCCGCTTCTCCCGATCCCCTCGATCCCCTGGGCCCTCCCAGGTAACATGCCCTTCCTGGGTGGAGTTGAGGTTGAATGGGGGAGAGGTGGGGGAGGGGGACACCTTCCTTGGCTCCTCTGCTGCAGGGAGAAGGGAGAGGGGATGGGGAGCATCATCTGCCAGTGAAGACTGTTGCTTAATGAAGGGGCCTGTTGTTCACTGTCCTGCAACACCAGCTGCTCCCTCTGCCCACAGCCCCACTCCGAAAGCCTTGGCTCCTCAGACAAGACCCTGCCATCCATCACCGAGGCCGAGGCTGAGTCGGAGCCCGGAGGTGGTCCCAGGCCCCGCCGGCCCCTCCTGCTGCCCAACCTTAGCCCAGCAAGGCCCCGAGGCTCCCTGGTCAGCCTTTTGGGCGAGGAGCTGCCTCCATTCTCAGCCCTTGTCTCTTCCCCTTCCCCTTCCCTGTCCCCATCCCTATTCCCATCCTCTGCCCTGGTTGGTCGAGGCCACAGCCCCTCCTCTCATGGCCCCCCCAGGGGCTTTGCTGCCAGGAAGCCCCCCCAGCTTCTTATTCCCCCACTGGGAACCTTTGGAACTACGGACCTCAGTCCTCGGTGAGACACCAGCCTCCCCTGCCATTTCCATACCACTGCTGGCTTCCAGAACCTTCTCTGGGCTCTGTCCCCAGTGCTCCCACCCGTCTCTGCCCCATGTACCCCCTGTGCCCTTCCTGACCCACCACAGCTTGCAACCCCATCCCACCCTTTTGACCATTGCTCCTCCCCAGCTCCCTGGCACTGCTGCCCCCACTCACCCTCTGCCTGCTCTGCTCTGGCCCTTACCCTCGCCCCATGGGATTGATGATCACTGCCTCTGTCCCAGCATAGTGGACGGCATTGAGGACTCCGGCAGCACAGCAGAGGCCCCTACATTCCAGTTCAGCAGGAGGCCTGAGCACCCTAGGCCCCGCTCTCAGGCCTCCCCTACAGGTAAGGGCCAGCAGTGGACTTCCTCTCATAGTCACCCATTCACCTGCCATTCATTCATTCACCCATCTATCCATCCCACATGTAGTAAGGGCCTTACCATGTGCTGGGTGCTGTGCTGGGAATACACAGATAAACCAGACCTGGCCCACACTCCTAGTGAACTCCCAGTCTAGTAGGGGAGACACACCTGTACTCTCAGATAAATGATTCCAGAACAGCATGCCGAGTGCCACAACCGAGACAGGAGCAGGGCTCTGAGGTAGGAAAGGAGAACTCCCTTAACTGTCCCTCCTAGAGGAGGGGGCTCTTGAGTTGGGTCTTAAAGGGTGGGTAGGAGTTTGAGGGGTTGGAGTAAGGCAGTTGTTGCAAGGCATAAAGGCATGACAAGAGCACGTTATGCTTAGATATCAAAAGGAAGATCCGTGCCTAGAGCTGGGGCGACCAGGGTGGTGGGGGATACTGGGGAAGTCATAGGGCCTCAAAACCAGCCTAAGAGTTTGGTTTCCCCATCATCCTGACCCCAGAGCTTCCTTTCCCCTTGCTCCCTGCCTTCCCAGCGACTGGAGGGGGCCCAGCCCAAGCTGTAACTCATGCTCCCTGCACTCACTGCCTCCCTTTACCCCGTCCTGCCTGCAGGGACCAGGCCCAGCCAGGAACTGGCCACTGAAGCTGAGGAGATGAAGGAAAAGGTCTGCAGGCTGAACCAGGAGGTTGGTTGGGGCTGGTTCCTCGCCTCCACCTTTGGAGAATATCATTTTGGGAATATCATATAAACCATGTCAGGATTTGGAGTCAGAGTCCTGAGTTTAAGTATTCACACTAGCCCTAGCCAGTTTGGCTCAGTGGATAGAGCGTTGGGCTGTGGACTGAAGGGTCCCTGATTTGATTCCAGGCAAGGGCACATGCCAGGGTTTCGGGCTCGACCCTAGTAGGGGCGTGCAGAAGGCAGCCGTTCAATGATTCTCTCTCATCAATGTTTCTATCTCTCTTTCTCCCTCTCTGCAATAAATAATAAAATAACATAAATATATGTACACTAGCTGGGAGACCTCAGGCAAGTCCCATAGCCACTCTGAACTTCGATTTCCTCACCTAAAAATGGGGGAAATAATGCGTTCTTCTCTCTGTGGTTGTGAGGATGCAATGAGAGCGCACACGTGCCTGGCCCAGTCCCCAGCACAGTCTAAGTCCTCATTGGTCGGTGCTTCCCCTCTTGCCCGGCTGGCTCAGGTTGTCTCCTCCCTGCACCACCTCAGGATCCTCTCCTGCACAGAATGGCCCCCACCCAGTCACAATGCCCCAGGCCTTTCCCTCAGCCCAGCCCTCCGAAATGAGAGCTAAGCAAACATGGGGGCAGAGGACAGGGAGGCTAAAGGGCCTTCAGCCTCGGGGGACCTGGAGCCCAATATCTGAATCCTGGTCAGGAAGAGCCCAGAGTCTGTATGCGGAGGCTCTGCCTCTGCCTCCTCCCGGGGGGATCTCAGGATTGTCGCCACAGCGAAGCTGCCCAGCCCTGGGGAGTTAGCCTTCCCTCCTTCAGATAAACATCGAGCTTCCCAGGGGAGCTCCTGGGCTGGGGCGGGGCCTAGGGCCGGGGGCGGGGCCAGCCCTGCTTCTGCTCACAGTTCTAGGCCAGGGGCTCCACACTTGAGTGTCTATCACCTGGAAGACATGGTCAAGTGCAGACTCCTGGGTCTCACCTCAATTGGAATGGCTGGGGCAGGGCCCAGAAATCACTTTTATAAGTTTCTCAGTTGGTTCTGTACTCCCAGAAATTTGAAAAACACTTGAGCTCCTGTGATGGGATCACCTGACAGTCAGGCGACATCTGTCGCTTCGGAGCCCTGTAACCTCTCTGAGCACATTTTTCTGCATCTTGTAAAAGTGGGGTGTTGGGAGGATGGCAATAGCTGCTGTCCCCAATCCTTTTTGGAAAAGGGCTGGGATGTTTACATCTAGACAAAAATAACCCCTGCCCTGCCTTCTCCCAGTGGCCCTGAGCAGAGGGTGGTTATGAAAGAACTTTGTAAACTGTAGAGGGGGGTGCACCTAGGAGGGGAGTGCTTGTTGTGACACCTGGGAAACAATTTGATGTGTTTCCAACAGATCTCCTGCCTCAACCAAGAAGTGTCTCAGCTCAGCCAGGAGCTCCGGCACATGATGGGCCTGCTGCAGGCCAGGCTGGGTCCCCCCGGCCACCCGACAGTCTCCGCTCGGCCCTCAGGCCCTCCGTGCCTCCAGCAGAGGCCTCCATGCATCTCGCCCTGTCGGTCGGGAGCACCATCTAGCATCCAGGATACGACTCTCGCTGAGGTCCACTGCCCAGCCACTGTGGGGACAGCAGAGATGGGGACTGCCCACCCCAACCTCAGACCCTACGTGTTGTCCCCCTACCCCTCAGAGCCTGACCCTCTGGGACCCTCCCCGGTGCCAGAGGCCTCACTTCCAACCCCCAGCTTCCGGTCCAGGTCAGACACATTCCACTGACCCTGGCCCTGGGCCCAGGCCTGTCTGGGGTGGGCATTGCCACCTGCCATCAGGGAGGGGCTGAGCCCAGGGCCTCCTGCCTCGGGTCAGCAGCCACCAGCTGGTCTGGTTGGCTCTGGATTCTCAGGACTTTTTCCATAAAGCCTGGTCACTTCCGACCCTCTTTCCTTTTCCAAACCTTCTCCTGTGCTCCTCCTTTGGGAGGGGAGTCACCAAAGGCCGTGGAACCCAACAGGCATGAGACAGAGCACGATGCCCATCAGGCTGGGCAGATGAGATGGCCTGCCTTCTCCCCAGGACCTGGAGGCAGGTAGAGATGGGGGAGCAGACGGGGATGGGGAAGGGCCCCAGATCCAGCCTGGAAAATGAAGAGGCCACCGCAGGCAGAATCTGGGTGTCTACAGCCAGAGGGATAGATTGCAGAGCCCACTGCGGAGACAGTGTAGTGATATTGTGAGGTGTCCTGTCCCAGCCCCTGGTCTCTGGCGGAAACCTTGAGAGCAGTGCTGCCTCAAGAGGGCTAAGTTTCAGATCCTGCCTGGCATCTGAGCAAACCAAGACTTCTTAGGCCTCCTACCATCAACCCGAGCTGGAGGGGCTCACAGCCCACACAGGACACAAACTGATGAGCCCCAGATATTCTTTGGCTCTCAGCAGTTTTTCAAAATATTAATGTGTTGCCAACATTAAAAATCAGGAGAGTATACATAAGAACCGAACTATTCCAGCCTCTCTATAAAATGTTGGGAGATCTGGCAATCCATATTCCACCTGGCAACACTCAGCTGGTGTTGGGTGGCCACTGTCCTCTTTAGATGGGGACTCTACTCTCCACTTCTCCACAGCCTCCCTATTTCTTCATCATCTCCTGACACTCTGCTAACTTCCCTCATTTGAATTATTTGTCTGGTCTTTGTGGGGTTTGAGTTTGCAGTCCTTGCCTTAGAGCAGCGGTTCTTGTTGATGTTGTTTGTGAACGGAGACACTGAGGCAAGCTTGGCGTGTAGGATGAAGTAGAGCAGAGGGCTACCGCTCGCTCAGGCGTGTAGCAAAGACCCTCTGATCCCTTCTGGCTTTTATTGGGGGTGAGCACAGCAAACAACAATGGAGTACATCAAGTGACAATGATTAACAGGCATGCTTATGAGATCATCTGAGCTAAGTTATACATTACACTATTAATTTTCTATGTTATACAAAGACTCTTTCCACCTGCAGCAGTGCACCCTCCTTGGCTTTCCATGCCCTCATGGACTATTTATCACGTCCAGGAAAGTTCTGCCTCTGAACAATAAGTCTTGTTTGCAAGACTTTGTTCTGACGCGGCCTGCTTGCAGGCTCCCGCCTTTTCTTGGCAGAACGTCCTCTTCTAGTTAACTTTTCATTCCACTTTACCGCAACAGTTCTCAACCTGTGGGTTGCGACCCCTTTGGGGGTCGAATGACCCTTTCACAGGGGTCGCCTAAGACCATCGGAAAACACATGTATAATTACATATTGTTTTTGTGATTAATCACTATGCTTTAATTATGTTCAATTTGTAACAGTGAAAATACATCCTGCATATCAGATACATAACAGTAGCAAAATTACAGTTATGAAGTAGCAATGAAAATAATTTTATAGTTGGGGGTCACCACAACATGAGGAACTGTATTAAAGGGTCACGGCATTAGGAAGGTTGAGAACCACTGCCTTAGAGTGTGTTTCCAGGATCCTGTGTCCCAAAAGGTACTTTTTGGGCTCAGCAATGTCTATTCCTATTCCTGGGTGTGGGCCTGTCAGCATCTCTGTTTCTCTCTGCAGGCTGTCACTGAAGGTGGTCTCTTCTGTTGCCAACAACTTGAAACAGTTCCAGCAGCACTCCTGCCCCTCCGCTGCCTCCAGACTTCAGCCAAGCCTGCTCTCCCCTTTACCAACATGGTCTCCCTCGGAGCCTGACTTCTCACAACCTCACCCTGGCCTCCAGTTCTCCTTTACCACTCAACACTTTGGGATAGGAAATAAATTCTTTATTTTTGTAGTTGTTGTCTCTGGCTGTTTCTAGAGGCTGGTTGGAGAGCCCCAGGGCTTTGGAGGAACTACACTGCAGTCACTCCCCCACCATACCCCAGGGCCCTGTTGCTGTGTCTAGAAAGGGCAAAGGCGCCAACCAATTCACTTGGTACCATGTTCACGCCACAGGGGCCCCAGGGATGAGGCAGAAATCTTAATGAGTCACTATGGGCCATTATACCCCTCCTCTCCCTTCCCCAGTCACAGCCATAGATTCAGACACAGTCTGTGGGGGGACAGAGTCCAGGCTCAGCCTCACCTCCAGGCCTGGAAAGGTGGCCATGGAACTCCCCATTGATCCTGTACCTATTGCAGGCCAGGTACAGCAGAGACTCGGGGGGAAGATCTTGTCCCCAGCCAAGAACTGGTAGGAACCCTACTCTGCTCCATCCTCTTTGCTCTCCTAAGCCCTTTCTTCCCTCTTAGCGTCCATTTATCTGATGACCATTGCAGGAGTGGATGGGATGAGTGTTGGGAATGTTGTTAGAAAGAGACACCCTGGACACCAAATGGAAATAGGCTATGAACAGTTTTGTGGCCAGTTATCCCAGAGTTTGATTCAGGCTGCAGAGTATGATTGGTGCTGGCTGCTGTCATAGGAACAATGCCCACAGCTGTCTCTGGGGTGAGCTTTGATTCCATACAGGTTTTGAATAGTGTCCCAAGGGGTGAGATGCAGAAGCAGAGGAGGTGTGGTCTTTGTTGGGGAGGAAAGGGTGGGCAGAAGCGTAAGTGGTCCTAAATCCATATTGAGGGGAGCAGAAAAGGCAAGAGCCCTGATGCCTACGGAGAGGGCAAGGTGGGGGCAAGCAGAAGTGGTTCTAATCTGTATTTGTGGATGAGGAGAGACAAGGCAGAAGCGGTCCGGCTCTGCATTTGGCATCAGAGACTAGAGCTGGTTCTGGTTGGGTGTGGGGCCAAGCAAAGGCAGAGGTAGTCCGGGTGTGTTTTGGAGTCGAGCCAAAGGAGGAGGGTCCTAGTTCACCGCTGGACAGTGGCAGGAGCTCTCGCTTTGCTCTCACCCAGTAGCCTCCAGAGAACCCTTCCTACAGCGCTTCCATCACCTTCCCCATCACAGAATGTCCCCAATAATCGGGCTCCCAGAGCTGACTTGGCCCGAAAGCGCAGACGGGCTTCTCCGGGTTAGCGAGAGCTCAGGATCGGACCAAACGGCCTCATTCACACCATGTTTTTCCTCCCCCAATTCTGCAAACAGCCTTCAGCCCTCTTCCAACGCTCCGCCACCCGCTTCTCCTTGGGGCGCCCGGAACCCGCGGTGAGGCGGTTGGCAGGCCTGGCCTTAAAAAGTTCCCGGCCGGCTCCGCCTCGCCCGGAGCGGGCTCCACCCTACGCCCAAGACCCTGGCGGCTACGGGCTCCTCCCAGCGCTGCGAACTACAAGTCCCAGCGTCCCTAGCGCGTGCGCTCCCGCCTCTCCCGCGCCCTCCAAGGGCGCCGCCTTCGAGTCCGCCAAGGGTGCCTCTCATTGGTCTCTCCACCCTGTCAGTCACCTGAAGTATTGAGGGGCGGGTCGGAGATGGAGATCCGGATCCGGAGCCGCTGAAAGGCGGAAGTGGAGGCCGGAGACTCCGCCGGGGGGAGAAGAGTGGAGCCGGTCCGAGCCCTGGCCCCAAGTAACGCCGCCGCCCCAAAGCCGCCGTGAGTGTCCCCGTCCCGGGACCCAGTGTCCCACTCGCGTTGAGATGTCTTCGGGGTAGCTCTTCCTCCCGCTCATTCCGGCTTAGAGGGAGACTGACCCCTCCCCCGACCCGTAGCCCCCTCTTAAGGAGTTCCCCAGGCATCAGGCCAAGAAGGGAGCTCTTCTTTCCTTCCCTTACCTGCCTTTCGTGCGCCTTGGGAAACTCTCCTGGCTCCCCTCTGGCCTGTCCAGTCCAGGTGTGGGAGGGAGAGACCCTAAGTTCCGCTCCCTCTGCTCCCAGAATTGGAGGAATCTTTGCCAGGTGTGAAGGGACCTGTCTCCCTTCTCTTTTAGAGGTGGTGAGGAGTGCTGTCTGTCGCCGTTTTCCTCTCCCCCTTCCCACAAAAACAGTTGTCTCTCCAACCCTGGAGGGATTTTGTGTCAATTTCCTGGAAGGGCGGGGGGTGGGGGTCCTGGGTGAGACCGTCACACCGCACAGGCTCGCACAACTCCTTACTTCCTCTCTTTCCTCGAGCCAGAGCACCAACCAGATCTCAGCTGAGTCCAAGCAGGAATGAGCTGTCTTCTCGACCCCAGCCCTGCCCCCTAGTTATGTTGTTCTCTAGTTGTGTTATCCAATGAGTGTATCTCCCTTCCTGCCTCTGAAAATTTTAGCTGAGGTTTGCTCAATTCTGGCTACAGCTCAGGGTGGATCTGCCCATTCATTATCTTCTCACTGCTCTCCTCCTCCCTCCTTGCTCCAGGCTCAGGACTGTCCTTCCAGAGCACGTGAGTGGCTTTCAAGCTGCTTCAGAGGGACTGCTCCTCCTGGGACTGCTGTCTGCTGGTCTTTAGGGAGGAGGAAAAACAAAAAACAAAAAATGAAGAGCCTGGAATTCAAGGGTCCTGGGCTATCTCTTTCAAACCTCCCCCCACGCCCCCAAACACACACATACCTCCCTTATCAACAGGTAGATGCCACTTCTAGTTCCAGATATCTCCAGTCCCTTCTGGGCTTGAACAAATTGTAGATTACAGAAGAATAAATGGAGATCACAGTGGCACCTTTGGGTTCTTAATGTGCTAATTTTTTAGCCCAAAGAACATCCATACATGCCAGAAAGTGCTGATTCCCCCAGCCTTTCCAAGAGACAGCCCATGCTGACATCTGATCCTTTTCTATTGCTTGGGACTTAGGTGTGTGAAATGGCTGCTGCCTCAGATCTAGCTGGGAGGTTCTTTGTTATGTGACCAAAGTACAGGCCAGAGACTGTACCTTAATGAGAGCAGCCTGACTCTTTGAGGCCACGGCTGACCCTAGCTATCTACAGCAAAGGAAGGGAGGGAAGGCCACGCTATCTTTGGGAATTTCTTCAGTGTTCCAGGCTATCTTTACTGCCCTTGGATGCTACTTACAAGGGCTAGTTGCTTTCTTTTTTTTTTTTTTTGCCTTGAGATCTTTGTGACTGCTTCTGGACTGTCACCAGTGTCTGATTCCTACAAACTTTTGAGCTAGACCTTGGATGCACTTATTTCATTTTTCACTGGACAATAGAAGCACCTTCCTTATTAGGATCAACAGTCAGATCACAGGCTCTCTATCCATCTGGGCTTCTTTGGAGGGTCACTGGAGACTTCTGCAGGCAACCTAGTTTCTCTTAACCTGGTTAGCCTGTGCCTCTGAGGGCAGAGCCAGGGAGGCCTGACTGCTCACCAGGCCTGCTGACCAAACTTACCTCCTTAGTAGGAGGCTGTGGCTTCTGGAACTCGGGGAGTCTCAGGATGAAGCTGACCAGTCTTCCGAGGGGACCTTCATTGTCGGGACATGCTCTCCCAGCTCCGATTCTGTAGTCGGCTTTTGAAGGAGACGCTGTCCCTTTTGGAGAGACAAGGAAAGCACCAGTGCTCCGGGTGGTTAGGCAGCCACTTCTGGCATCCAGACATCTCAAGAGATCTGACACTGCTTGGCAGAAAGAGAGGGCTCTGTGTGGGGTAGAAGCCCCTCCTCTGTGATGCCCTTCCTCTCCCCTCTTGCCTCTTACCACTAGTAAGCCTTTTTCTGCCTTTATACTACAGAAGGGTGGTAACAACTAATTTTCAGAAGTTCTTTTCAAGTTGCAAAGTTCTTTTCACACATGTTCCTCATTAAGAGTCCTGGGAGATAGTGGGATTTGTACCTCCACCTCAGAGATGCCACCGAAGGAATTGAAGTAGTTTCCCTTGGAACATACAATTGGAAAGTGGTAGAGCCGGGACTTGGGATTTGGGATTCAATGTGCCTCGACTTCCCTAATAGTGGGCCCTCCTTTGGTCTGTTTGTTAAAGGAATGAACATGCAAAGCGAACAGCCAGTGGCCCAAATACACACCCTTTAGCATTCCGCATCATTGGGATCCTCTGCTTCTGGTTTTTGTCCTCTCTCCTACCCTACCCTCCCAACCTCATTCTTGACCACCTTTTCTTCTGCCTGTGGAGACCATGGCAGCTATGACTCCTTTGTCCCTACTCTGTATGGGCCAAGAGTTTGCTGATATCTGCATGCCATTAATTTTGTAGGAACCTGAAAGTCATGATGGCTAGGAAATGAAAGTAAAAGGGAGTGGACCCGGGGATCCCTCTAGACCAGTGGTTCCCAACGTGGGGCACACGTCCCACAGGGGGGCAATTTGAGTTTTTAAGGGGGGCAATTCGAGAATGAGTAAGTAACAGTGAATTTTTTGCATTTTTTATGGTTCTAGGGGCCTCATATACAGTATATAAATATATATTGTGACATTTATGCATTTCAGTTCTCTTATATGTTTTGAAACTTTATTTGCTATTTTTTCATATCACTTCATATTATTATTTTTTTTAACAATTTCTTAGTGATTTCTTCCTCAGTACTTCAGCTGTCCTTTCGTTCTTTTATTTTTCTCTTTCATGGATGCCATGTTCTTTGGAAGCTTGTTTAGAGCATATTAATGGCCTTTTAGGCTTCTGCCACATGGATAGGAGTTCACTTTCTGAATAATAAGAATTAGCCCTAGCTGGTTTGGCTCACTGGATGGAGCGTCGGCCTGCGGAATGAAGGGTCCCAGGTTCAATTCCGGTCAAGGGCATGTACCTTGGTTGCAGGCACATCCCCAGTGGGGGGTGTGCAGGAGGCAGCTGATCGATGCTTCTCTCTCATCGATGTTTCTAACTCTCTATCCCTTTCCCTTCCTCTCTGTAAAAAATCAATAAAATATATTTTTTAAAAAAGA